ACAGCGGGCTCCTGCAGCTTACCCTCGACGCTGCGAGGAGGACACCGCCAGAGTCCACTACGATGCCTTCGAGGCCTCCGTCCTTTACGATGAAGTGGCCGGGGAAGCGTTGATAAGGAACCAAAAGGCTTGAATTTGGGCTTCAACGAAATTTCTAGGGTTCCAAATTTGGGGACCTCGAAAGGAAAGCAGAGCATCGGGACGAGAGGAGAGAGGAGAGAGAAGAGAGAGACGATGGTGAGAATGAGATAATACCTTTTGTTTCTTATTTATTTCATATATAAAATGTATTATTTTAATTTTGAATAAGATATTATGGTAAATGGGAATAAACAGTGTCTAGTCCATTAAGCATGCATGGACATTAATTTTGGCGACGGCTAATTGAAGGGCGGAACTTCGGCGTTGAAATTCAACAATTGACGACGGTTTCTGTTCTTCTCTGGCGATCTTCTTCTGAATTGTTCTGTGGGCGGGGGGTGGCCCTGTGCCTTGTAAGTAGGGATGGCAATGGGTCGGGTCGGGGACGGATAGTTCATATCCATTACCCTACCCGAAGTAGTTCGGGTTTTACCCATACCCATACCCACATGTGAAACGGGTAGAAAATTAAAACCATGTCCATACCCGTTCGGGTTTCGGGTATCCACGGTTATCCATGGGTAATGATTTCTCTTCATAACTCCAACCAATATGTTAACATTCACACGTATTCTCACATTACTTAAGAGGAAAAGTATGACAATAATTCACTAGAATGAAGAAAATTAATTAAAACAACACAATTTCATAAAAATATTATATTTATATGCTAAATATAAAATATGTTAGAGAAATATAATGATTATTAATAGACAAAATACATACGTATGTGTATAATCGGGCGGGTTCGGGTTTTACCCATACCCACTAAATATCCTTCGGGTTCGGGCGAATATCCACGGTTACGGATATTTTTGCCATCCCTACTTGTAAGTATTCAGCGGCAGTGGGGCTGTCGGCGCGGTGGTTCCTCTCTGTAGTTCTTCGGATCAAATCTCCTCACGGAACCTGCTCCCAAGGTTTCTTCGAGGGTGATCGCCTTCTCCACCTTGGCCTCGAGTTATGAGGATGAGGTGACAGGTCGTTTGGCCAGCGACCGTCTTAGTTCGTGGTTGATTGTGGAGTCCATGAGATGTCGCGCCGCGTTCACCGGGGTAAGATCCCGGACCGCCATGGTCACCCTGGACCATCGGGAATAGAATGCCCTAAGGCTCTCCGCCTCTTTCTGTTTTACATCTACTAGCGCTACCGTAAGCAACGGCCTTCGCTTCTGCGATGCGAACTAGGTGGTGAATAGAAGAATGAATTCCTCGAACGTCTGGATGATCCCGTTCAGGAGGAGTTGTACCAATCGAGGCATATCCCCGCGAAAGTAGAAGGAAAGGTGCTGCACAGCGCGGCGTTGGAGCATGTTTTGAGCTGCATGCGCAAGCAGAAAGCACTCACGTGGTCTTCCAGGTCGGTCGTTCCGCTGTAGGTGGGGAGGGTAGGGGGATTTCCGGGCATCTGTTCCGCCATATCTCGGGGCATAACGGTTGGTGCAACGTGATTCGTGGAGGAGCGCGGTATGCTGGGGACAGATGTTGTTCCAAGAAGTCGAGGTCGGCGCGTGGCGCTCGTTCAGCGTGCAAGTTATCTTCCGGGGCGAGTTGTGGTCGGAGTGGCACTTTGGGCGGAAGAGCAGAGGGGCATGAGCGAGAACATTGGCCTGTGCCGCTATCAGAGCCATCATCTGGCTCATCTGGGCCTGCATGTTGGTGATCACCTTGTTTTGTTGTTCCATCTGTTGGCAGATCTCTTTGGGAGATATCTCCTCCTCCTCCTTTATCAGGACGCCGTACAAAACCTGGACGCCTTTGGCTAGTGGTGGCCTTGAGCGGGGTGGTGTCGACTTCTGCATCTGGGCCTGTATGAAACCATTTAGAATGCACATAGATTAATAAAAATTACAAATACGATGTCTTAACCGAGAATAGGAATAAAATGAAAAAAGATAAGGGTTCTTTTAATGGAAGAAAGATATTTTTTTTATAATAATGAAATAGATAAACTATGCTAATTTCAATGCTTAATTAAAATATTATGACATAAAAAAGTAAGGAATTTATTTATTAACTTATCATAATTTATGAATAGTGTAACATAAAAATCACTAAAATATAACTCATATTTGGTAACCAAAACACGTGGGCCTAAATTACAAAAGAAAGGAAGAATAAAAATAATTTATGTTAGTGTTATTGCGGACTTGCGGTTGATTTTTTCTCTACACAAAATAATTGCAGTAGTTGTGGAAATTCGGGTAGTTTGTGGCTGGTGGGCAAGGTTGTCAACCCGCGGATTGACCCGGACCCGGTAAAGCTAGTGGGTCAAGGGTTAACGAGTCGCCTGTTTTAGTCCGGAAATATGGAAAGAGTTATAATATTGTACTTATCCTGAAATATTATATCAAATCTCATCTAACATGTAAGTAATAACATATAGCATTACACCAAAGTAACATGTCGTACTTAGATCCAACATATTATAAAAATTCACACACACTTATATAACATCAATATTCAAATGTTCAATTAACGATTTCAAAGATTGAGTTAGGCGAAAGAAAATTTGGAAAATAGGCGCATTTCGCAAACCAAAGAAAAAAATAACACAATTTGACCTCTAACTCGATACCGTGTGGCGGTCAACCCGGCAGGGGCATGCGCCCCGTTTTTCTCACCGGGTCAGGGTCAAAGTGGGTCGACCCATGGGTGGACCCGCGGGTTGACAACCTTGCTGGTGGGTAAATGTGGGGCCAGACCGTAGTTAATTAGTGGCAACTAGGGGTGGGCATCGGTTCAGTTCGGTTTTAACACACAAACCGTATAGGAGCCATCCCTGAAACTGTCTAGGAGCCAAACTGAGTTAAACATCAGTTTGGGTCGATTTTAACACACAAACCGAAGGTATATAAACAACGCTCTCTCTCTTCCAGCCCCACATACCCTAACACTCACCGTTTTCCCATTTCGATCAAATCTCTCTCTCCCCTCCCTCTTCCAACAAACGTAGTTGATGCAGAGCATAAAGGAGCGGTGCTGCAGTAGTGGTATCTCCTCCATCTCTCGACTCAGCGACGAGCAGAAAGCAGCGGTGCTGTGGTAGTATCTCCTCCGTCAATCCGTCTGGCGACTCAACGGCAACAACGATTGATGCGGAAGTCAGAACACAACGCGGCGACAGGCGGGCACGACGATTGAATGTTTGAGGTCAGTATGAGTGTTGATCTAAGCATGCATGTCGTTTTTCTGTTTGATTTCCACCTTCGAGTTTCAGTAGCATCATCGCTCTTTTCAATTCAGGAGAAGAAAGCTTTAATTTTCAATATCGATTTTGATGCATTTGGGGTTTTATGTTTAAATTTGGGTTTTTGATCTTAGGGAGGAAAAGAGATCGGAGAGAGGGGAAATGGCATCGACCCGTAGAGGAGTAGTTTGCGGCAAGGCCAAGAGATGATAGGAGAGGATTCGGTGGACGGCGATGATGCTTGATGGTCATTGGCGGCGGTGATGCTTGGGTTTTTGGTCTTCTTTGTTAGGTTTTGGTTAGCAATAGATATTAAAGAGTTGTGGGATTGAGGGAATTTTCTTTGGGCTCTTGTGAGATATTTATTTTTGGATTCGGTGAGAATTGGGCTGTGAGAGGTTGAGTAGTTAGTTGGGTTGTAGGATTGGGTTAAATTTTTTGTTCGGTTGATCGGTTCCGTTGATCGGAATTCAATTTCGGTCTGTATACCCCTGGTTCCCGAAATAAAGAGTTTTGGCTTCCGAATTTCGAACCGAACAACACTAATTCGGTTTCGGTTCGGGTTTACCGAACCGGTTGCCCACCCCTAGTGGCAACAGTTTTGGCCTGTAAAGATTTTATGATGATAGTGTTTTGCATAGTTATGTTAGTAGTTTTTTTGGTTGGTAGAATTTTTCGTAATTTGTGGTAGTGATTCTAGTTAAAAATTGTCAATTGCTAGAAATACAAAATTGTCAAGACATTAATAATTACATGAGAATCACTACGTACACTCTAAAAAAGTACTACAGTCAACCTCCAAAATTGTCCGTCACTGGCAACTAAAAATCATAAAATCACTACTATCAGCCAAACGACTAAGTAGTAGCGAATTTAGCAGTGTTTTTTCTCGTATAAAATGGCTAAGAGAGAGAATATATTTTATATTTTAGTAGATTTTTTTTTTCAATTTTGTGAAATTTCAAATATGTCCTTCATTACCATCCACGATCAGATTGAACATAAAAAAATGGAAGCTGATTAGAGTAGTTAGCACGGTGCTAAATTTTATGAAGTTAACACTCTAACCTCTAACAAGAAGGAAGTGAACTATAAAGTAGCAAAATTTGATTTGATAATAATATTACCGACTTGTCACGCAGCTTCATAATTGGGACCCGGCCTGATTTACAGTAGCGAACAATGCTATCGTACTTGCCTTCGTTTATAGAGGTACACAGTACAGTCACAACCAACACCAGCCTAAGAACATGACGAAGTTAGCTTGATTTGTCTTTTTTTTTCTGTCATAGATTTGCCATTTTGTTTTTCCAAGGATAGGACCGTTTATATGCAACAAATTGTCTTATTGTGATTGACAAGCTGTTACATTACTTCTCCCACTTTATCAGATTTTTTTTTAGTTTTAACTTTCGAGAAATCGAGATCTACGATGATAATCGAAAAGCTCTTCACAATGTCAAAAATTCAAACTTTTCATGAATGCATATAGTAAAATCGATTAGTGTGTCGTATTTAATAAACTTCATCTTATGGGCATTTCGCCGTTTATCTGGCTAATAACATACAAACATATTCTCACGAGCCTGCCTCGTGATTAGTTTCATATATAGACTCTCTTTTGGTAACTACATGAAATGACTCGTAGCACCCAACCAATATTGAAGATCTCATAATGAACACCGGTTGGGAACAAGAAGCAGAGGTAGTTCCTTTTGCAACGTGAACCCAAACTTCTCATTCATATCCAATTCTGCTGGATCTTTTCCATCGGGGAGGCACCAATCGAAGTTCCGAACGATAGCAGCCAAAATCAATGAAATCTGTCTGGTGGCCAACGGCACTCCGGGACACATCCTCCTCCCAGCACCAAATGGCAGAAACTCGAAATCATGCCCTCTAAAATCCACCTTCGACCCAATAAACCTCTCCGGCTTGAACGACGTTGGATCATCCTCCCACACTGTCGGATCCCTTTTAATCGCCCACACGTTGACCAAAATCTTAGCTCCTTTAGGGACCGTGAAATTCATCACCTTGCAAGTCTCCGATGCGCGGTGCGGCAGCATGAGCGGCCCCGGCGGGTGTAGCCTCAGTGTCTCCTTCACGATTGCATTCAAGTACGGAAGTCGAGAAACTACACATTCATCGAGCGGCAGTTTTCTCTCGAGCGGCGACGACAATTCTGCGTTGAGCTCCTCCCGCAGCTTGTTCATCGCTCCCTTGTTTCGAATCAACTCTGTCATGGCCCATTCTATTGCAGTCGTGTTAGTGTCTGTACCGGCCATGAACAGTTCCTGCAAGAAAACCAATGGGAAAAGCTAAACTCAAGCTTGTAAGAGAGTGGTATAAGATCTAGAATAACCTTCTCCCAACAACTCGAGTTATTGAGACTAACTGCTTCTGGACATGGTATCAGAGTTAGTTTGACCAAAATGTCATTTGTTGAAATCTCCACGACTCCCAATATTAAGTGTAAGTTGATTTTCGGGAAGTGAGTTGTTGGGACTAACTAGTTGTTGTGGCTAAGCACAAAATGGGATTGAAATTTTTTTCCTTGTGAACTTACGAGACTCAACCAGTCAATCTGGTCATCATCGAGTCCATTTTCCAGGAAAATATCCAAGAAGTCTTGAGCACCATATCGCTCTTCCCGCCGATGCTCTCTCCTCTCTTTAACGTAGGGCTGCTAAACGGAGTAGAGCTCATTGCAACAACGAAACGTCTCACGTCTCAGCCCCTGGGGATCCCATTTCTTCATAATTGGAAAGAATTCGGCGAGATTAGGAGAAGTCCCCAATTCCATCATCCTCCAAATCAGTGACTTCAATCGATTGGCTGTCTCGCTACTCTCGAACTCTATGCAATCTCGCGACAACATGAGATTCGACAGCGAGTCAAATATAGCAGCGAAAACCACTTGGCTCAAATCAATGGGTATTTGTTCTAATTCGACCCGGTTAAAGCAAATTGAACTCGATGTTCATGAATTTTGGGTTCGCTGTAGATTTATTTCCTTTTATGATAATTGAATTTATTTTGGGTCGGGAATGAATTTTACCAGATTTTGTGATTAACGGATTGGGTCGGGTGTGGATTTTGTTAAAAATTCGCTCCGCTTTATCAAGCCGGTCAAATCGAGTAGAATCCAATGTTGCCGAATTTTAGTTCGTTTTGGATGGTGGACTAGTTTTACTCACTTTTGTAGTTGTCGGGTTGGGTCAGCCTGATTCGCCCGGGTTAAAGAGAGTTAAACGTGTTGTTGACGAATTTCGGGTCGGGAATGAATTTTAGCCGTTTTTGTAATTGACAGATTGGGTCGGGTATAGATTTTGTTAACAACTCACTCCGGTTTATCAAGCCATTCAAAGCGATTTGAAACTATTGTTTACAAATTTTGAGGTCGGGTGTGGATTTTGTTAAAAACTATTAGCCTCACTCTATCACGACGATCAAAGCGAGTTGAATCCGGTGTTGATGAATTTTAGGGTCGTTTGGGCTATTGTACGAGTTTTACCTATTTTTTAATTGCCGGGTTGGTAAGTGCATATTTATTTTCTTTTGTCGCACTTGAACCCAAATCCATGTGTATTCAGTTTAATTCGACGGGGTCAAGATATGGGTGGCCATTCGGTCGGTTTGGTTTCGACCGAACCGAAATTATGCATACCGAGTACCTTAATTCCATAAATGTAACGCCCCGATTTTTTTTTTTTGGTTCAGGTTCGACCATAGTAAATGAACGGTTGGATGGGTAGTTACGTACGAAGAATTACGATAGTGAATTAGGAATAAATAATAATATTATTAATAACAATTGTTGTTTATTATAAAAAAAATGGCTTTTCCTCACCCGTTACTTCCCCATCGGTTACCATCCCTTTAATAACCATATAATTAAACCCCGTACCCATAATAAACAGCCACTATCACTTTTCATCCCATCATCACAGTCGACATACGATCGGGAGGAGAAGGTGGAAAGACCAAAAGGAAGAGAGGGAGAGCGCGCCCAAATCCTCGTCCGAGCTCGACCAAACCCCCTCAGCGAGCCTCTTCTCCACGCGGAAACACCATTACCATTTCATAAAAATCACCATCGCCTCATTCCAACCCTCCACCCTCCTTATCCTACTACCTAACGCCGCTTGAGATCGTTCATCGATGTGACCGGAGACCATCACGATTGGGCCGGAGTCACGGGATCGGACGGCGAAGCTTTGGGATTTCATAAGCGGGGATCGATTAGACGAGGAAGCTGTGGCATGGAACGAGGCCGGTGATTGGAATTGTGGACAAACTCGGTATAGGTAAGGGTTCTGTTGAAGGAAGCCTGTCAATGGCAAAATCGATTAAGAAATCCCAGACCTCAAGCTGTATCAAAGATTCAGAGACTTACCAAAAGAGGAAGCTTACCAACATGGAAAGTCGCCAAGAGAGGGGGAAATCAAATCAATCAAGAGAGATCAAGGCCAACGGGCAGCAAAGAAGAGTATATTAGCCGAGCCATACCCAACTGAACACTACACGTTTTTCTGGAGAAATCAAGCTGCAGAGTTGAGAGTCAATAGTAGTCTTGATAGAGAAAAATTGAGTGTAGCAAATCAGGGAGAATTGCTTCGAAGTTCTGTGAGTAGACAGGGAGTTGACACACAGAAGGATTGAACATCTTGTTTAGCAGGGAGCTGATCAAGAGTGTTCATCGGATTGTAAAACTGAGAAAAATCATTAGTAGTTACGCAAGAGTTCTCAAGAGGAGAATCTCTTGCCGTGGATTAGTCGATATTGGGATCCTTCTTCTCCCAATATCGGATACCACGTAAAACTGGGTTCCTGTGTCGTGGTTGTGTTATTGTTCTTTTACTTGTGTTGCTCTGTTTCTGGTTGTTCGAAGAAAAAGCAGAAAGGAGTCTTCAGGAACCTCTTGGAGAAGAAGCACTGATCCTAAAGTTTGGGCTTCAAGAAAAACGAGCCCACTGACTTGGCGGAACACCTTTCTTAAGTGAAAGAATCAAAAGCCCGGTCCAATATATTTTAACCGTCCATTTTGTTTATCAAAATAGAGAACAAATTATTTTATCATTTCACCTTTACCATTTTGTGAATCTACACTTGATCTCTCTGGTTCGATTAGGGTTTCTTGCAGCTGCGAGAAAGCAAAGGAAAGGCGAAGAAGAATCGGTTGGTCTCGCGCTCGACCACACCTACACGTGGTATCAGAGCCCGGCTCCGACGTCCTAGGCGCAACCGCCCTCGGAGAAGATGAGCTCGGGATCAACATCAGCTGGAATTTTCATGGCCGACGGCTTTTCACAAACTCGTCCACCGCGATTCGAAGGTGTACACTACGGTTACTGGAGAAACCGGATGGAGTTGTTCATATGTTCCACTGATCCAGATCTTTGGAACATAGTGCTCGATGGTCCGCTTGAAGTCAAGGAAACTCGTGGGAAGTGGACAGAGAAAGATAAGAGGAATTTTCAACTGAACTCGAAGGCTACAAATCTGATGTACTGCGCTCTGGGGCCAGAGGAGTACCACAGAGTGACAGGGTGCAAATCAGCAAAGGAAATCTGGGAAAAGTTGCAGATTGCGCACGAAGGAACCTCTCACGTCAAAGTTTCAAGGATAAATAGTCTCAAGCAGGACTTTGAGTCATTTGTCATGAAGCCTGACGAATCGATTAAGGATATGAACGAGAGATTCACTACCATAGTGAACAGCCTGAGGAACTTGGAGGTCGAATACGCCAGTGCAGATTTGGTTCGGAAAGTGCTCTGGGCACTACCAAAGAAGTGGACTCCAAAAGTCACAGCAATCGAAGAGTCAAAGGATCTCACCAAGTTGAGTCTGGATGAACTAATCGGCTCCCTGATCACGCATGAAGAAAAATTAAAGAGGGAAGATCTGGAAGAGCCGAAGAAAGAGAAAAGAGGGATAGCTTTCAAAGTAACTTCACAGGAAGATGAATTTGAGTGCCTCGACGAGATGGAAGAAGAAGAACTTGCTATGCTTAGCAAGCATGTTGCTAAACTGCTAAGGATAAGAAGGGAAAAGAAGAGAGGAAACTTCCCTGGCAGACAACGAGAAGCAGAAAATGATAAGGAGTTTGGCAAGGGAAATCGACATATGACCCGAAACAAAAAGGAAGGAGCTAGCTCAGAACGAATCCAGTCTCAAGCTGGATGTTTCAAATGCGGGAAGCAGGGACACATCAAGGCAGATTGTCCCCTGACAAAGAAGGAGAAAGCATATGCTACCTGGAGCTGCAGCGAAGAGGAGGAAGACGAGGATGAAACCTGTCAGAGATATAGTGCATACATGGCTGTCGATGAAAGTGATGAAGAAGCTTCACAGGTAAGATCCTACTACTCTGACTCCTTTAGTGATAATGATCAATTAGATGAAACTATCCGAGACATTCAAAAGGAATTTGTAAATGTTAAGCATAAACATATGATAACCAAAGCCAAATGTGAAGCATTAGAATCTGAGCTTGAAGCATTGAAGAATGAAAATCTAAGTATAGAAAGCAAACTCAGAAAATCAGAGGAAGAAAATGCTTTGTTAAAGAAGAAGATTAAAGAAACAGAAAAGAGATCGAGCAAGAACACTTGGGTTAAAAACAGGTCAAATAGGTATGATTCAATAAAGGGACAAGTGAGTCAAGATAAATGGTTTAAAAGAGTCAAAAACTCAGAATGCTTTTACTGTCATCAAACTGGCCATTTCATTGCTCATTGTAAGAAGAGAATTGCCAAAGAAACTAAAAACAAGGTCATTCATGAGCATAACATAATACAAACAAATAAAACACATCTGAAAGACTATCAATCATGGATGGCATCTAAACTGGTTTGGATGCCCAAATCTAAATAGGCCTAACTGTTTGTTTTCAGACCTGTCTTCAAGTGAGCACGAAAGGCAGCGTATGGATACTCGACAGTGGGTGCTCACATCACATGACTGGTAACAAACATCTTTTTTCAAAACTTCATTTAGAAAACAAGGGAAAAGTCTTTTTTGGTGATAATTATAGCACTGAAATTCTTGGTAAGGGTCAAGTAGGATCTGTACCATCTATTAGCAATGTTTTGTTAGTCAAGGATTTAAAACACAATCTTCTCTCCATAGGACAAATGTGTGGGAGTGAAAACAGAGTCGTTTTTGAACAAGACACGTGCTTTGTTGAAAATATTGAAACCAAAAAACTTATTTTCACTGGAAAACGCAAAGGAAAGTTGTATACAATTGATCTTGAGGATAAATCAGCTTTCAATGAAACCTG